ATATATATATATATATCAAAAAATCAAAACTTTTTTTTAGAGCACATCTACTTTTAAAATAAAACTTTCCCAAACTGTTTTCCCTTGTTTCATCACGTGATTTTCTTTAGCACCAGAAAGCTCTGCGCTGAAATGCAATGGGGGGGAGCACGAGTATTTCTATAATTTATTTAATGATAAAGCAATTGGTTTGCCATGGGGGAAAAGAAGGGTCTTCCTCTCTTCTCCAAACCGATCTGCAAGAGCGTCTGGTGAGCAGGGAGGTCCTTCTATGGCTCTGCAGTTGGACTCTTCTAACAAGGCCTGTCTTTGCTCCTTCAGAGAGAGCCTCCAAACCCAACCACTTCCAAGTTGGAAATCACCACCTGGGATCTTTTAAATTAAAAAGCTGTTAAATTTGTTCAAATATAGCAGAACTCGAGGTCATTCTGGATCACTGGCCATAGGAGCGACACGAAACAAATCCACAGCAAAACTGATGTTTTCTACCAATTACTCTTACGAAAGCAGCACCGTCACCGAGAGTCCTTTCTCACGTAAAGCAGGATGGGAAAAATTGCCAGGCATTTTGGCCAAAGGCCAGTCAGGCAAGGAATAACATTTAATCCACAAGGATTTTTGAAGAAGTAACCACCGTCCTAAACCTCTTTGCTTCAGGGAATGGCCATCCTGACTCTGGGGCAGGTTTGACTGGAACTGGGGAAGAATGAGCATCCCCCTGGAGCATCCCTCCGGCCAAGGCCGCAGCACCGAGGGCTTCCTGAGCGCCTGGGGGAATGCAAAGCTGTTCTCCCAACCAAGGTAAGCCAGGACGTGTGGTAAGACGCAGAAGAAAGAGTATTTTTGTTTAGTTGAACCAGCTAAAGAAGACACTTACCTCTAGTTCACCCATTTCCTGCAGAAGTAAAGACAGAGACCTAGGGCGTTTCTGCATCTGAGTTGGAACATCACACGGTAATTTAATGCTTTTCAGCTTCTGCCTGTCACCTCCCTACCCAGATCTGCCTTAATTGCCCTGGAGCATCTCTGTTGTGACGATTCCTCCCACCCGGAGGCCGTCTTTTGCAGGAAAGACTCTACTGGACCCAGAAAGATGCTCTCCATACTCAGAAAGATGCTCTCCATACTCAGGGGCTATCTGAGACAGCAAGAGCACCCAGGACTGCACTGTAAATGCTGCTGCAAGCCTGGGGCAGGCTCCGAGCAGCCCAAAGGACAGAGGCAGAGACCCAAAGTCCCGACTCACCACCGAACATGGGCGGAGAGTGACTCAGCCCCACCTGCAGCCATGGCACGCTCACCAGCCCAGCGCTCGCCGGAGCCTCTCGCCGTGTCCTCTCCGGACCTTGCCTCCACGCGAACCAGCTAAAACAACACAGCTGCTGCAGCGATTATAAAAACAGGTTTCAGCAGAGAGGACCGGAGCTGTTTTGCCTACAAGGGCAGAGGAATTCGTATGACACAGGAAGACTGAAAAATAATCAGCAGAGCGCAGGCATTTAAGAGCAATGTTTTTTAAGCCACTCGAAAAGCAAACCCCTTGAACAACAGGGACTGATAACACACTCGTTATATAAATTCAACCCATTACAATAACATTTAGCAGTGCTTGGAAAGACATCCTGTTGAAAGTTTGTCTTTTAGGCAAGCGTGCTTGTAGCTGGTACCACAGAAATGACTTCTGAAAACATTTGGTGAGCTGGGTGCTCCTGAAAAGCCCGTGCCTGCCCCCTCTCGCCCTAGCGCAGGGTCTGGATGGTCAGAGCATCGCCCAGGTCTTTGCACAGTTGGGCTCATCCAAACCCGGCTTCACTGTGATCAATACAATATCCAAGCTTGGAAGGGGACTGGTGACAGCTGCAATACCTCTGAGGACAAGCAACTGCTCAGCGTGTCCGCCTTCTCCACTGCCATGACTTGGCCAAGCCTGGAAGAGCACGCCTCGCATCAAGGCATGCTCTCTGCGCACCCGCCTGCCTTCTGGGTTTATTAGCACTCCTCAATTAGCTGACGTCTGCATCCTGATTGTCCGGACACATTCTCCCCTGATGGAGGGTCACTGAGGTTTCCGCCTTGGGATCACACCCCGTTCACGCGCTGCCTTGGAGCAGAAGCCAGATTTCTTCATTATTGAGCTTGACTGCTGTATGTAAACAGCACACAGAGGGAAGAACCTCGCTCATCAGCAGACGAGGCTTTTATTGCCATTTTCCTCAGAGGAGGCCTGAATTCAAAGCACCGAGACATGCAAGTCTTGTCAAGCAGCAGGAGTCCCCTCTTTAACTTGCGTCTGGTTGTTCTTCATTTTTGCTGCCTTGAGCAATTCTGCAAAAATTCCTTTGAAACTCGGGAGGCAGATAGGTTCAGCAACGCCATGCAAAAACCAAACAAAACCCGGCACTGGAGTTTTAAAGCATGTAATGAAGTGCAAGTGCTGAAAACAGACAGAGCCTTTGTAAGCCAAAGGTCAGGGCTGTACATTCAGAATTCCAATCTGGGGATCAGTCAGCACGCATCCAGCTTGAGATGCACCGAAAGAAAGCTCGCAGGTTTAGCCTTGTGATTTTTGAGACTTAAAACAAACCACTGAGATCAGGTTATTAGCAGAAGGCAGTGCACGTATCAGTGGTAAAGTCCTAGAAGCAGCCTACGGAGGGCAGAGGAGGGATAAAATGCCTAAAGGACAAGGGAGCAAAGCAGAAAGAAGGCATAGGATGGTCAAATAGAAATTATTCTGCCCGTGAAAGAAATAAATTATGGCTACTGAAATAAAAATTAGGAGGGTGAAGAACTCTGGCAGAAATGATCACAACTTATTGCAAGTATAATCATCAGCGCAACCCCACGAGCCCGCTGGACCAGTGGAAAAAAGTGCTAAAAGCTAATTAATTTTGAAGAGTTCTTACATCTGTCTCTCCCGATAGCAAGAAGTTACATGACCCCTGCTAGCTTCAGAGTACTCCTCCATATAAATTGATGAATATGAAGAATCGCACAAGGATGTGGCCAAGCAGCTGGATTTGTATCTAACAGAGCCTTTAATTAGCAGTCCTCTCCAGCGTTCTGTCCCAGGGGCATCCTCCGCCTCCCAGAGCCCTTTGGCCAAGGTTTGCCTCCCCGGCTTTGCAGCACGCCGTGGGTAAGGTGCAAGGAGCTGGTGCCAGGGAGCAGAGGGAACTCAAGAGCTGCTCCAAAATGGCTCCAAGCCTCTGCTGGGCTGGAGACAAGCGCGCTACCGGCTGGGGGGGGAGCGACATGGAAGCCCCCTTCCCATGCGGCACGTTTGTCAGCTCGCGGTACTCACCGGGGGCAGGTGGGGAACCAACACAGCACCCATTAAAAACATCCGTGACACAGGCTGGAAAGCTTCTCCAGCAAGGTCTGACAGCTCCTGACATTTACGGTGACACTAAAAGAGCCTCCTGGAGGACTCTGTGGTTACAGCACTGCCATTAATAAAACTCCCCCCTAATTCTGTAAACCCGTCACCTTTCGCTTGAAGAATCAAAGGGTTTCTGCTCTATAGAAAGACACTTTGCATTCATACTACTAAAAACCAGAACAAACATTGAAAATTTTCCTAAAATCCCTTTTTTTCCGCCACAGAGATGCAGTCACAACCAAATCTCGTAATTTCTTTTTCCTCCCTTTGCAGACCATCTTTAAGGAAGGTAAGATACAGGATGTTGCCCTGAGGGTCAGAACCAGAAAAAAGCAGAAAAGATTTGGCAGGGGCTTATCAGTACAAGCTGTGTTAAAAGTGCAGTGGTCATCAGACTGTAGAGCAACTGCAGACTGAGCGCAGTTCGGCAGCAAAAAAACCTCAAGAGAAGTACCCAGGTACGTAGAAAGCTCCGTCTGACATTCAAAAGATGCTGTATCTCAAATCACTTCCTAAAAAGCCACCAACATTTCCAGTGCTTCATGCACCTGGCAAAAAATACCACAGGAACTCTGTCTGAGCATCCTTGATTTCCCATCATTTGAGTTCACTCAAAGCATTTGATGTTGCAAATGTTCCCAAGACCAGCAAGGCTGAGTAGGCTGCACAGCGACAGAACAACCCCGCGTGAAAAGGAAGTGACAATGGCCATGACCTCGCTCTAGTTAGATATTGCCCCCAACACCAGCTGTGGCAAAGCCTCCCCCAGACTAACATGACAGCAGTGCCACCACTAAGGAAGCCAACACGCTACTGTCCCACCAGACTGAAGGTACTTACACGCTGCTGTCTGTCAGAGACATCGTATCCGCGTCACTGGACATGCTCTGCTGCTCGCTGTCGTTGGCACTGGTCGCTGGTGCCAAAGCGTAGCCCGTGTTGACATAGTAAGGGTTAACAGGCTCTCTCCATGACCCATGCCTGCAAGAAAAACGAGAGAGTCAAATTAGAAGGACACAACCTTGACCATCCTCTGCATTGTTACGCAGAAGGACTCTGCCTGGAGCCCCAGCATCGGTGACAGGCTACAGAATAAGCTAAAGTCGCACTCACAGAACCATGAACAATTTGACTCCTAACGGGAAGCAAAAGGGAATTCACGGAGTAATGAAGATGATACTGTTAGAGATGAAGAAGGGAGGGAACAAGACTATATGGGAGAGGTCCAGTTCCTGTCAGGATTTATGGTGTCCATGGGCTAACTGCTTAGCACTGTCATTCCACAAGCAAGGGAGAACATCTACAAATCAATACCCAGATAATAAGGCAGAATTTTTCTTAGCCAGAACAGGATCCTACTCTTTCAACAGTGAGGGATGTGTAGCATAGCTCATCCACTCTACGCTTGCTTTTCCACCCCTCTTTACTCCAACATGTTTGCCAAGGGAGGGAGGTAAAGCGAGAAGTGGCTTTTGCTTACAACACAGCACCTAAAGCCGACCTCGAATGCCACAGTCGGGTACATCAAACACTTGCAAATTCCACCAGGAAGGACCATCTAATCACGTCGGCTTTTCCACTGGACAATCTGTTCATGGATCTACAGAGGCCAGTTTGTACACAACCACATGCCTTGTCCTGCAGACAGGTTATTCAAGTACACGTGCGAGCAGGCCAACCCCTTTCTCTTCAGCAAAGTGCCGGGAAGAAAGACTGACTTGGGAAGCGAGTTCTTCGCTTGGGAGGAGACCTGCAGTAACGGTGAAGGAGCCTGTGAAACAAGAGTCAGGAGCTGCTTCACACTGACTCTGCCACCGGCACTGAGGAGCTACTGCTGCCAACGTGCCTCCAGCTCTGCTACACCGCAGGGCAGGCAGGTCATGCAGGCACCTTCTTGTCACTGCAAGTCATTTTCCAAGTTGCCAGGAAGAGGAAGAAGCTGAAACGTTCACACCAGCACAGCATCGTTTAACCCACCACTCTCCCTGCCTACCCCTCTGCATGAAGAGCAGCCTTTGTAAGGTATCTCCGAGCTGATGAATCCTCAGGTTTTCCAAGCTCTGTTACCAGCTCTGAAAATCCTGTTTTAATTCAGATCACGAAACCCATCAGCAGGATCTTTTATTTAGCAGCTCAGTAACTAGTACCTAGCTGATGTGGTTTGTAATGGACCTTGAGCAAGTGCCTCCAAGGAAGACACAGCACGCAATTTGTGCTTTTCTCACCGCAGTGGTCAGAGTCCTGCAGACAAGAGAGAACAGTCCCTGCCCTGATGAGTTTACATTTAGATAAGACAAGGAAACCCATAAGAAACGCACAGATGGAAGGATCAGAGGGGAGGAAGACACAGAACTGACTTTGCAATACGAAGGGTCATGGATGCTCACTGGTCACTAATTAAAAATCATTTGGTTTATGCCCATTATGCAGTCAGAGGAAACTGGTATTTTGCTTGCTACACACCAACACGAACTCCAAGCTATTTCTCTTTGGATGACGAAGCTCAGGGTAGTTGCAGAGTGGTGCAAGGAGCATTGAAAACCCAGTCAGCTGAGGTTTTTCACGACTGTTTGAGGGAAAGGGAGCCTCGTGAGATTTCTGCACGCTCGGGTGTTTGGCTGTGAAAGCTTATGGGTGCCTTGGGATGGCGAGTCACCACGGACATCTTCTGGCACACAGATTTCCTGCCTGTCCCTGTAAATGTGCACTGGAGCAACCGCATTTCTATATTCCATCAGATTTCAGAACAGCTTTCTAGGGCAAATATTTAATGCCGGAAATAACACGAACAAGTTCACCCTAAAACCAACATATAATAAGTGAAAATCTGACCAGCCTCCCTTCACCAGCTCTCCCCTTGCGTAACGGTCAGTTCTCAACATTAAAGGAGTGCTGTGCAGTGCAACCCTCCTGGCAAATCCGATACGACAGTTGTGTGATGGAGGCCGATGCTCCTTCTTAAATTGAGGCAGGAATGATGGATAGCCCAGGCCTTCCCTGCAGGCAAAGAGAAGGGTGTTTTTTGGATAACCCAATTAAAATGTTGCACGGATTTCTAGCAGGCCTTCTGCCAGGACGCTCTGGAAGAGGCAAGGATCACTCTAGCAGCGTATTTAGAAAGCACCACGATAGAATAAAATGCACGGATCAGTCATTTTCTCTTTTGTGTCTGCTGATACAGAGACAGAGCAGCAGACAACATCTGAAAAGTTCGCTGCGTATGGATCCGAGATGGCTTAAGGAACCAAGAGTGAGCAGAGGGGTGCCGGGTGGTCCCCGGCCCCTCCGGAGGAGTTGGGATGGATGGGCTCTCCTGCAGCGCTCCACGGCTGTGGGCTTCCCGCTGAGGATGCAGGCAGGAGTTTGGTCACAACTGTTGTGTTTAGCTAAAATTACACACTTAAGCCTGTATACAACAGGGATTACTTCCATTTTAGCTCTGCCTCTAATACATCAATGCAAATGTAAACTTTTGGTAAGCGTAAGGAGATGGAAAGGGTATAGGATTTCAAAGCAATCATAACAGGTTACATTACTTTTGAGGAATCCATCTGTATTCAATCCTTCTCCTAATGTTCCCTCTCCCTGACAACTCTCTTCAGCTGGCTCGTATCACTATTTGAATGTTTTGTGCCGTGCCTCTGAAGAACGCTTTCAACATCTATTAGGAGGGAAACATTAAAGGAACACGGAGTCTAACAAAAAAAAATGGTCACTTCTGATCTGGGAGGGGAGGCTGCTTTAAAAGGGATACAGGCACACTCAGAGCGATTTGAAATGTCAGCTAAAAACCTCACATACCGAGCTCTCCGTGCTGATAAGGGCGATAAAAGGGAAGGTGAGCATTTAAAGTTAGACTTCACAACAATTCCTGCAGACTTCCGGAATTTTATTCTATTTTTTTTAGACAGAAAGAGCAATGAACGTTTTTGAAATGAACACAAAACGTTTCACACATGGCAGAAATAAAGCTGCGCGTCTCTTCTGCAGCTCTCAATTGCTCAACCCTCAAAATAATCACATGGGGAACTATTATAATAGAGATCACAGCGACCCAAGTAAGTCAACCTGACCAGCTGCCTTTTCTTTGCATAAAGCCCTCTGTTGATTGCCGTAAATTCTGTTAACACTGACAAGGGCCAAAACTGTTGTAGAACACCAGTAATCATCTCCTCAGGGCTTCCTTCTACCTGTTCAGAGTTTATTTTGCACGTCGTCCTGGCTGCGTCCTGTCCCCAAACCTCCCACTCCTCCACCCAAGACCAGCACATAGCATTTTGAATGTCAGCACCGTCACATTTTGAGGCTTCAATGTCAGTGAGGAGAGAGGTGAGTCCTCTTCTGCCCTCTTGCCCTACCTGAAGTTGCCACGGTGCCCCATGTCCCTAAGGACATCCTTTCCCTTCCAGCCTGGGATCCCCAGTCTCCTTCAGACAACTTCACCTGATGGTTGTTTCAATTTTAAATCAAAGGTGCAAAGTCCCTCATTTTTGCCAAATATGCCACTCTTTGCTCCTCAGCAGTTACGTACCTCCTTCGTTGCTGTTCTTTATCTAGCATGGAAAAAAACCCAAATCACCAAAAGGCACGAAGGAAGCTTCCTTAGAGATGAAAGGCCTCTCGGTAAGTAATTTCTGTAGAATTTAAATTTTCACTGGAGGGAATCAATCGCACAAAGCTCTACCGACAGGTCTGAGAGACCTGACCTTCCCAAGTCTGCTGGTATTTCCAGTGGGGCTGGAGCAGCTCCCAGTCTGACAGGGAAGCGGATCAAGCCCATCAGTTTTCATTGCTACCATTTTCTCCAGCTCTAGCATGGAATTTTTATGCCACTGACACTTTCTGGAAGAAAACTTTTACTCAGAATGTGACAGAATCCAGGCAGGCTGCCAGTGCTCTTCTGGCAAAGGTGCTCCCACCTGCCCGAGCCCAAGGTAAGCGCAGCTCCAGTGCCCCTGGCAGCATGGTGAGGCACCTCCAAACCCCGGCAACGTCAAGGAAGCAGCTGTTTGAGATACTACATTAATAAGCCCAAGAGATAAAAGACTCATGAAGCTGAAAACCACAAAAACCTCACGATTCCTCCTTTCCCCTTTCAGTGGGTGCCACTTGAGCTGAAGGACGGTGCCCAGAGAGCACAGCCCAGGGCTGCGGCGCAATGAGACCCAGTTTACAGAGTCGTCGTGTTGCCACCCTGCTTTTTCACACCAACTTCTGAGAACTTAGTTCAAACTTTTACAGTCCTGTGTTTTTGAAGACGACTAGTTCCAGAAGTACATTTGCAGGGTGAAACCAGCACCAAGCACTATTCTGTGTCTGTGGTCATTTTGCCTTCGTGACTGGGAGGACGCAGTCTAATGCCGAGACATCCTTCCAGCTGATTATTTCGACATCTTCCATTTATTCAGTGCAAAAAATATAACGTTTCCATTTAAAAAGTTACCTATTTCCATCCAAAAAAGCCAAAATATTCCAAAATAACAGCTCGCTGTGTCTCTGGCCGGCCAGACACAATCAGAGCTCTCTCATTTCCCATACTGGCATCTACCAACAAGTGTGTGACTGTCACAGCCTTCATGCAATACCACATTCCGTTATCACAACCAGCCAATCAAATTGAAAGGGGCTCATGTTAGCTTATGATGTACAAGCCGAAGCAAATCCCTTCAGCATGGGCTGACAAGAGTGTCTGAGCAGCAGGGTCACCTTTAAACAAGGGATTAGAACAGCATCCACCAAAAGTCTGTCTGACCAGATTACATCAATCTACCACCTGGACAGAGAAGTCTCGTTTTCTTCTCCATGGTCCCAATAACCATCCCAAAAGCTGCACCATACTGGGTATAAAACTGTCAGAAAGGCCCCAAAGCTTTGTCAGTGTTCCTCAATACATCATCGTGGGTATGTTTTAGAGCTAAGACCAAAATGTCTATGAAGATGCGAACCTGAAAAGCTTTACTCCTCCGTGGCTTGAACCTGCACTGAAGACGCAAAGGCTGCTCAAGAGGTTAAAATTGGGATTTAGCTGATAATTTGATTGCAGATCCCGGGGTTGCTCCACTTAAAACTCTTCCCAATTACTCTGGGTACTCAGACACTGCTGTGGATCTCAACTTTATCGCTGCCAATGTCAAGGCAATCACATGTGTTCTAGGCAAGGGCAGCTTCTTCAAAGATCACATCAATTCTGGACAAGTTAATCTGTTCTTTGAGGTCTCCAGATGGCTCTTGCCAAGAAAGTTCACTTCCAGCCCTGCAGCCGGCGAGCACAGCGGCCTCAGCGCTCTGCAGAGCATTACAAAGGAACCAGATCAAAGTTGCGTCTTACAAAAAAATGAAATCTGAAGTTTGAAAAGCAACAGCAGCCTGTCACTTGTAGGCTTAAAGACGACTTCTGCATGCTCCAGCTATCAGGGAATTTATGATTACAGCCTGGCTTTTAAAAGCTGATGAAAAAAACGCTGCTCTTTAGCGCTCCTTGCCTTTGCAAATCTGTATCTTCTTCCGTGCTTATTCATCCTCCCACGCTGGAGGAAGAAGAGAAATAAATAAAAATGTAACTAAAAGTACAGATAAGGGCTCCTCTTCTCTTTTATTCTAAGGCATTCAATTCCATTTAAGGACTACAGGGAGATTATTTTATAGGGAGCTTCAGCAATTATTGTGAAATATTAAAGTACAGTTACAAAAGCTAAATCCAAGATCTACAAGTCTGAGTTTCCAGTTTCTCACTCCTTTGCCTTTACCAAGGACACACTGCATCACAGGCAGGACTAAGGTACAGAAGATGCATTAACTGAAACCAGTACTTTAGATCACGGGATACAGCAAGGTAGGTGAGAAAAGTGGTTTAGAATTTGTCAGAACCTCAGAAGTTGAAATATAGGAAATAAATTATTTGTCTTAGGAGTCAAATAAAGACTAGATAGGCTAAATATTGTGGCTGTACTGCCCTATCGCCATCGTAACCTTCCCAGGGAAGGCTTTCAGGCAACAGGATGCAGCCATGGTGTGTGTTCCGTGGAAACTGAAGAGCAAGTCCCTCAAGATTTCATCTGACTGCGCGCCTACAAATCAGCCCTCCCAGCTCAGTTGTGGCCCAGTGCAATACTACGTTTTGTCCACTAGTTACAGTCTTAAAACTGTAATAATCCATTTCTGACACACAACAAAGAAGTCCTTCCTAAAAACAATGCACGTCTTCCCTAGACTAAGACCAAACCCCTCATTTATTTAATAGCTCAATGCACAAGAAATGAATTGAAATAAAGGAGGAAAAATGGGCAACACAATGTCTGCACATCAACTAACTGGATCATCTTCCTGAGATAAAGCGAACGTCACAGAACCTTAACAATAACAGGTACCTGCTTAGACTCATCTCGACATATTAGTCTGAATTTACACCATAACATAGGTTTTATTATTTTTTTTTAAATGATGACATGACTAATATGAATCCTTATCCATTGTGAAAGGCTGATATCAAAATACATCCTGAGGGCAGTGAGAGGACCTCAACCCTGAGGACCAAACCCTGCTGACACCTCCAGAACAGAGAGGTCCTGCCCGGGATCACACGCATAAGGAGCAATGTCAGAAGAGAAGCACCCGGACGCTTTACGGTCACGTTGAGTACTAAAATAAACACAAATCTTGACAAATCACAGGGCCTCTCTACATGATCTTTGCAGCGTGCCCAGGAGCTCAGGTTCCCACCCCCGGGCAGGGGATGCTACGCTCCCAGCATGCTCCAGCTGCCCCAGGGTTTGGGTGGGAGCCCCCCCCCATAAATCAGTGGGACCCCCACTCTTGACCCTCCCACTGTGCCCTCCCCGGCTGGGCAGGCTCGTGAGCTCGGCCACGGGCACCGAGGGCTGGTAGCGCCACCTCCTTCCCCCTGCTTAAACGGAGAGCTGGGCAAAATTGAGCAACTGGCTGGCAGGTGACACCTTTCCACTCTGCTAACCAGCTCCTCGGACTGGAGCGACATCTACGACTGGAGCCTCATCGATGTTCAGAGCTCTCCGCGTCACGCCAGGCGAGAGACCACCCGTTCCTTCCTGCCG